GTGAGTACTTCAAGTCGTAACGCAGAATTTATGTCTATGGATGATGCTGTTAAGGAACTACTGTTTATCAAAGGGCTTCTTAATGAAATTTTTGAATGTAAGGACCCTATTGTTCTTTAAAGTGATAGCCAGTCTGCTTTTAAATCATTAAACAGAGGCAGTCTTGATCATAAAAATATATATACATTGAAGTTAGGTTCAATGAAATTATGCAAGAATGTAAGACTGGAAATGTAATTGTTAAGTACAAATGTTCTGACGACACGATTGCTGATGTCTTGACCAAGTCCCTAGGCAGAGTGGCCCATGAGCGCTGTCTGGAGGGTCTTGGAATTTCCTCCATTTAATCTTTTTAGTTAAGGTTTTGGGCTCTTTTTGTATTAGAGCTCATCTTTTAGTTAAGTTGGAGAAATGTCACATCAAGGCAGGGTGTTAAACTTTGTGATTGCGCCATTTCTCATTAGTTGTTAAGAGTTACGTTAAGATTGTCATACTATAGTTTGTACCCTGACATCACTTCCGTTTCCCATGTTCTACGTTAGTTTCCGTTTGTATCCGCTGTGTATTACACATTCTCCAAGTTTATTTGTGATTCATTATTCAATCACTGAACATTTTACCCTGAAATTAAACAAAAAAAGACTGCCACCGGTGTCACTGGCAGTGCACCAGTTAATTTCACCTCATGCGAACGCCATCTGGAGGACCTGATGCAACAACTTAAAACCCCTTTGGAGATCCCTGAGAGTGCCGTTAAAAACACAGCAAATATATTTCGGGGAAGTTCCCGGTTGAATCCGGGAAGTAATTTTCCGGATGCTATTTTTCGTCATATCTATGCATGTTATAACAATTGGAGGAACCGGAAAATGTACTTCCCGAATCCAACCGGGAAGTTCCCGGAAAAATGTTTGCTGTGAATGCGAGCTCTCCTCTGCTTCCCCCGAGTAATGTTCCCATGGAGTTGTCACCCCAGACGCCCGTTTCTAAGCCATATCGGATGAAACCGAATACTCCCCATGGGGGCGGCTCTCGGGGGTGAGTAGTGAGGAATACGCTACAAAGTCAATGGATCTCATTTTTAAAGTGGTCTGATGAACGCCATCAGATCCGCCTGAGACAGGAAGGCAAAAAAGTAGCCTTCTTCGAGGAAAACATGAAATTTGAAAGGGAGAAATTGAATGCTGAAAAGGAGAGGCTGAAATTTGGGAGAGCAAATTTGAGCATAAAAAATTAAGAGAGAAAAGGAAGGATGACCAGATGAGAAAGCTGATTGAAATTGAGGAGGAAAGGCTAAGGTTATTGAATGACTTGCGTATTGCGGCAGGTCACTGAAGTGACATTGTTTTAAGTTAGCAGCCCAGCCCAATTGTTGTATGGATATCAGTCATGTTCAGCCTTTAAAGAACATGCAGTGACTATCCTTGTACAATATGGGCAAGGGTTACACTGTATGTTCTTTTAAGACTGAATGATGTGATATCCATTAACTGTTGTGCTCTTATGTTTTTGCCAACAATTTTAATTTTCTTTTCTCATTCGTATTTGTTGGTAAAATTATCCTCAACATACTACATTCATATTGCCCGCCTGTTGACACAGCCTCTTGTATCCTTGTGCTTCTGAACTACTTTAGGGTCAGGTAGGGGAAAAATGAGACATTTCAATAACTTTTGTCTTATCTAGCATGTAAATGGTTATTTGATAAGTTTTCCTGCGTCTGGTCGATGAAACACAACCCCAGTAATGAAATTAAAGCGTTATTTTAGTACCGCAACCTGTGGTGTATGCAGAATCCGAAATAGTATGTATATTTTCCCCAACACGCATTTCGGGGAAAAGTGAGACACCCGTGGGTAAGAATGAGACAGGCAAAAACCCAGCAAATAAGATAGGGACCCGCCTTGAGGAAAAACGAGACAGCGCCACTCCATTTTTTGTCTCATTTTTCCCCGCATTGACTTCCTATGTAAAGTCAATGGAACTGAGTGTATCTTTCTTCCCCACGCAAGTGTCTCATTTTTCCCCGTGCACTTATGGTTAGTCGTACTGTCAGTAGAATTATAATTCAGGTATGTTGTATAGCTTCACGGAACAGCCGAAATCCCAGCTTTCCAACGAACCCAAACACTTAATCTTTACTCCTAAGAATACGGATGCAGTACTGAAAGTATGACACCCCCGCAGAACAGTTTTAGAGCCCTTGCGTTTAGGTGGTCGGACAGGTTTCCCATTAGGTATGTTTCGTGACGACAACAAGCGATTAAACTTCCCAGAACCGGTTAATAATTGAAGTCGAATGTTAAAAGATGTGTTTTAAGCACCCAAACACTAGGAATGAGATCAAAAAGCATGCAAACCAATCAAGAGAAACGAATGTATCATTCTTCCCCAATTTAGAGGGGTCTCACTTTCCCCCGACCTGACCCTATGCAAATGTATCCCTACTCTCCTTCCAGGAAGACTACTTTAAGGGAATGAGTCAGAGGGTAAGAACCTATTTATTGCTCCCGCCCACCAGCTGAGCTCCTGTGTGTTCTTTACCGAGTCCTCACCTAAATCTATCAATATCTGATAAACTCTGCCACATCAACCCATAATAATTACAACAGGTTATGGGCCCAGGTCTACGCTGTGAACTGTGATCATTATTTTTCTAAATCAAACTTAAAATTAGTGAAAAACTTGTGATTCTGTGAAGTGGTGCGTGACCACGTAGAAACAGCATGGGGAGAAAACTCAACAGCGAGGACGCCTCGTCGACTGGGACAGCCGGGAATACCCCGTCGGGAACAACTGTGGTTTCCAGTTCCCTGCCAAATGTGGAAAAACTTCGTGGAGTAGAAAATTGGCCAGATTAGAAGATGCTGATGGAGATACTCCTGGGGGCTGAGGACCTCTGGGACATCATAGAGGAAGAGCCGGAAAAGAGCAGCTAGCAGACAAGAAAAGTGAAACCTTTAAAAAGGATCAGAAGGCAAGAATGAAAATCTTATTTTCTTTTGCGGCACCAGTGCTGCGACTCATCAGGGGCGCGACCTCAGCACATCAGGTATGGTCGCGAATTGCCCATGCCTTGGAGGACAAGGGCGTCTACCGCCGGGCAGCTTTACTCCGTCAGCTATTCAGCATGCACCTAACGTCAACGCTCACAGCATACGTGCTGGAATTTAAGGACATAATCAATAAGATCAACGAGACCGTTAATCCAGTAGAGGATGAACTTGCTGCTGTGTTATTGCTCGACCATGTGAAGCCGGAATTTAAGGGCTTGTGCCAAATTCTTAAGAGAACCTCTCTGACCAAGCTACCGGAAAGCACAACGACACTTGAATTTGGAACGGTGTCAGAAGAATTACTGCGAGAAGGGACCAAGACTGAGCTCGGCGACCGAGCTGACGCCGCCAAGGATAAACTCTGCCACATCAACCCATAATAATTACAACAGTATTCATGTTATTAACTAGTACTTGTAGCATTACGTTTACTGTCAGCTCAGTCAACACCTATCCCCAAATGTTGTTTGGATGTCATTCATGTTCAGTCTTAAAAGAACATGAAGTGACCATCCTTAGGCAACATGAGCAAGGGTAACACTATGTTCTTTTAAGGCGGAATGATGTGATATCCCTAAACTTGTGCGATATGATGCTCCTGCCATTGATTTTTTAAAAATATCTTTTGTTTTAGTATTACTTAGTAGTAGTAGCAATATGTGAAAGGTCATTAAAATTTCCTGTTTCCCTGTGAAATAGCATCTGTTATATTTGCCCTCACTTAGCAATCACACATGCAAATCGATACCTTCCGTCGAGAAAGGCTCAGCCGCGCGACCGCTGCAGAAAAAGGCCTGGCCGAGCGATGGCTACTGAAAACGGCTCAGTCGGCGGGAGGCTGCTAAGAAAGACTCAGTTGCATTTTGGCCGCGCGACGTACATGGACGTTTGAGGCGCTAGGAAAAATCGGTGGTCTAAGATATATATTTTCTGAAAGCGGCAAACGACGTAGAAATGCTTCACCTATCGTTTGCCATTTTCAGAAAATTTACATCTTGTGCCACCGATTTTTCCTGACGCTTCAAACGTGCACGTGCGTCGCGTGGCCAAAATGGAACTGAGTCTTTCCTAGCAGCCTCCCGCCGACTGAGCCGTTTACAGTAGCCGTCGCTCGGCCAAGCCTTTTTCTGCAGCGGTCGCGCGGCTGAGCCTTTCTCGACGGAAGGTATCGAAATGCTTTGTCTAGAATTGAACTTATCATAGCAAGCACGAACGAATGTTACTCAATGTAACAAGACACACGTCAAGTTAAAAGTTTCAGTTATCAATTTTGAAATATGTCCAATATTAATCTCACACACTGTAGAAAAGCATCATCATCATCCTCATCTGCATTAAAATCAAAAGCATTGTCACCACTCCTTCTACACACATTGTGTAAGACACAGCACGCTACAACTAATTTTGCAGCAAAGTAGACATCCCTTTGTCTCATAATTCTTCTCAAACATCTGAAGCGACTCTTTAAAATACCAAAAGTCTGTTCCACAACAACACGAGCTGAGGAAACTGGTACATTAATTACAATAGTTTGCAGAACACACTAAATTCCAATGGACTTTTTTGGTGCTCATCTACATGCGTTTTTCAGCACATCTTAACGGGGTGCATTTTTACATCTTGCAAATGACAAACTTGCATCTCATTGGTGGACAAAAGTAAACATTTTCTTTTGATGGGATGCAAAGTTGTCATTTGCAAGATGTGAAAATGCACCCTGTGAAGATGTGTTTAAAAACGCATCTTGTTGTGGACAAATAAGTTCATTGCAATTTAGTGTGTATGTTCATAATTATGCACAAAAATTGTGCATGCCCCGGCATACTTGGCTGCATGTCATACAACAATTCTATGCGCAGCAAAATGTATAAGGTTTTAATGTGTACAGAAACGCACAGTGAATTATTGGCTAGTAGGATGGGCCGCGCAGGCCCGACCAAACGCCGCTGCGGTAGGCAAGCAGGCAGCAAGCACGACCCCTGCCGAACAGAGTTTAGCGGTGAGGTGAAGTGGAGCAGCAGCAGCTGGCCAAATCGTTTGGCAGAAAGGAGTTCCTGCTTCATGCTTCATTGTTACCTTTGCCACTAAGTTACGTAATTTAAGGCACGCGGCTTACATTGAGCGCGATTAAGTGTTATTTTGACATTTTGACTGTAAATATTTTTATGTTGCGTAATAAGTACTTTCTAATGTGCTTTGCCACAGGGCCATTACATCGTCACCAATGCATCGTTCGATTTGGAAAATGTGGAAAAGACACTCCCAGGCCTTGGAAAGGAGAAATACATTTGGACAATAGAAGTCCTTTCTTACAAGGAAACAAAAGAACTCTACACGTGTTTCAGTTTTTCTACGCAATTAACAAGAATAAAGGTTCAACAGTAATGCACCTGCGAAAAGTTCTAAGGTCTTTGACAAATTGTCATTTTCCACTGGTATGATAATGACTAACATGGAAGGGAAATATGAAAAATCACATCGATATTATAATATCGAGTAAGCAGTTCCCAGTGAGAAATTTATCCAACGACATCGTTTCGACATCGTTTTTGATGTCGTTACGACTTAAAAGTGGTCATGAAATCGACGGCTTTTCGACAGTGAAACGTCGAAACGGCATCGAAACGACATCAACTGTCGAAAAGCCGTCGGTTTCAGGACCACTTTTAAGTCGAAACGACGTAAAAAACGATGTCGAAACGATGTCGTCGGAAACAATTTCTCACTGGGTTGTGGTATTCAGTAAGTGCTGTTCGGATATCAAGGGGACCACGACTCCCGTAATCCTATGTACAGATGGAAGTCTAAATCCATGTAATCCCTGTAATATTTAACCCAACTTTGAAAAAAAATCACTATATTCGACCTAATTATCCAAACTGAATGGGGTGTAGCCCCAGAAATTCAACAAAATTCATGTGCATACCCTGTAATCACGTAATCCTGTGTACATCCTAAATCGAAATGGTGGTCCCCCGTCTTTTATGCTGTGGTTTACGGGGAGTACTTGAAAGAGAAAAGAGGAAAGGATAAGCTACATAAGGCTCAGATATACAATGTTCTTATTTAAGCAAAGTGAATAATGACATAAAATTACAGGTGACATTAAACAAAATATACAAACGTTCAAAGCGATAAATCACAGACACGTTGAGCCGTATTCATGATAAAATTAGAGAAGCAAAGGTTGGGTATGTTTCCAGTGGTTTACTCCGAAATGACTGTAACATTAAGGAGCCGCACCGCCCTCCCCTCGCGGTTCGACTCTCCGCCGGGCCGGGCCGCGGCAATGTGCTTCAGGTTGCACGTGATGTAGCCTAGCACCTTGGAGCCCTGCGCCTGCTGCGGCGCCACCGGGAGGTCGTAGTAAATGCGAAGGGCGGGCGGCGACTCGCAGAACCAGCTCCTAAATACATCAATATACACAAATTATACACTTAAGGATACTCTGTCCATTGTTCACAATAGGAGGTAGAAAACAAGCGATGATGTGCTGCTGGCATAAGTGACAAAGCAATATATGTGTAATAATTTAGCATTTCAGCGTTACATCGGTAAAATGGTTTTGTTGTTGGAACGAAAGCTTAGTTAGCTTAGTTTGTGGGAGCTAATTTCTGCGTAGAGACATTCAATGGTTTCTGGAAACATATTACATTAGTTCCCACCACTTCGCTTTCGCTCCGACAGCAAAGGTTTCGTTGGGACTGCGTTACATGATACCGAGCTGCTAATCACCGAACGCTATCCTTACGGACACTTATGGTTAACTAAACACTACCATTTGCATGATGCGTCTGTGTGCACATCTTGCAAGATGTAATTGATTCCTGAGAAGTGATAAATATGCATTTTTTGTTGAACAAAATAAATATTTGTGCACCAGGAGAAACAAATTTGTTGCAAGTCAGGATTCACAGTATGCACCTTGCAAGATGAACACATGCGTATCTTTGATCCTGCAATGGATGTAGAGTGTAAAAAGAGCATTCTTGAAGCGTGCTTGGAAGCGGTTGTACCTGTCGGGGTCGTCAGATTGCCGGTCGTCGTCATCCCCACGCTCCCTATCCAGGCAGCCCAAGAGCAGTACGGCCCCCGGCATGATGGTCACGCCCTCCAGGCGGTCAGGCAGCTTGGCACATCTCGTTGCGATGGCCTCGCAGCCCGCAGAGGACGCAGAAAGGTGAGCCTCCTCCGGCTCCAGCTCAAGACCCTCGAGGTAGAGGCACAAGGCTCGGAGGTCCGCCCCACCCAGACTTGAGAGGGCCAGCTCGATGTCCCGCTCACCCACACCCATCACCTGCAAACACCACTATCGTGAGGGACTGTTTCAGAGGCTGACTTGTCGTACGCACATGCATTATTGTGCACATCTTAACTGTAGGCAATAGTTACTGACAGTTGCCAAGAATGTCTTTACCGGGATGGCAAGTTCCGGTCTTTGTTACACATGACGAATTCGCATCTCTTCCATGGACAAAACGATCGAAATTTGTCCGTTGCAAGGATGATTTCTTTCTTACTGGAAAGATTGAAAATTGCATCTGGTTAAGATGCGCACAAAAATGCATCTTCATAGGAATTAAAAAGTCCCTTGAGATTTGGTTCACCTGTGCCGTGCACCGGAGGCGCGTGGTGGCGGCCCGCACCTCCAGCTGCTCCAGGCGACGCAGTCGGTCCTGCGCTGCAAGCAGGTCCTGTGCAGCACGACTCCGAGCCTCTTGAAGGGCAAGGCAGTCGTGCTGAGCTCTCCGACAGCCGGCAGACGCCTGCCTGTCGCACCCACGGCACCACTGGAGTCTGCGGAAATTGCCTGCTTGAGTACTAAACGACGCGTCCTAACAACAATGTCCTATCTGCAGCGTGCGGAATACACAATGTCCTATCTGCAGAGGTTCGAATACACAATGTTCTATCTGCATCTGGGTTGGGTGCAGCCCTTCACCTCTGTGCTTTGTGTGGAAGACATTAAGGCCAATCTGCACACACGGAAAGAATCGTAAAGGTCCAATGTTCAATAACTGACTGCAGCTGCTTTCTAGAAAGTAAAGTAGGACGAGCGGATACAGAGTAATAAGCATTTCTTTTGAGGTATCCTGACCCAACGTTTTGCAGATAGAACATTGTGTATTCGGCACTCTGCAGAAAGAACATTGTGTATTCCGTACGCTGCAGATAGGACATTGTCCAAGATGTGATAAAAATGCATCTACTTACTAAAGGACATATTCGTTTCCTAATAAACAAATCTCGATACCCCCTATCTAAAACCGCTCACCGCCTCGGTGGCTCTGAGAAAACGCTCAGCTCACGCCCGCCTGCGGACAACCGCTTACCTAGGTTAACGCCAGATAAACGCTTAAGTCGCTTTTTCACCAAAAACGTAATATTGGTATCATTCGAAAGAGAATTACCGCCTCTTTCGAATGATACCAATATTACGTTTTCGGTGAAAAAGCGACTTAAGCGGTTATCCGGAGCGCCAAGCTAGGTAAGCGGTTGTCCGCAGGCGGGCGTGAGCTGAGCGTTTGTCCGCAGCCGCCGAGGCGGTGAGCTGTTTTACATAGGAGATTCTCCTAACATTAAGAGTGCATTACCTCATTTTAGGTGTACGTCGAGCTGAAGAGGGCGTTTTGCTAGACTTCTTGGTAACATTAAAGTTCTTATCCATCCGTGGAGTCTTCACACTCGGTGATTGTTGCTTTAGACCATCGGCCTGTTGATAATTCTTGCAAAGAATAAGTTTCTTTTTCGAAGCCTTCGGTGTGCCATCGAGAAGGGTGTCGCTGATAGAAACCTGAAAGACAATTTAAAGTTTGAGAATGCACATGAAAACAGAGGTTTAATGGGCAGTTGGCCTACATGAAAGTTTAGATTTAAGTGAGTTTGTGCCATTGCCAATAGAAATTAAGTGTGACAATGAAAGTGCAATAACTATTGCTAAGAATGATGTTATTAATGGGAAGAACAAACACTGCATAGTGAAGTACCATTGTGTTCACGAACAAAATGTAGAAGGAGTTCATTGTAGTTCATGTGCCACCGAGGGAGAATACCGCGGATCTTTTAACAAAGAGATTACCAGTGCCAAGCACTGAGATGTTGTCCAAGAAGGAAAAATCTGCAATGTGGACCCAGCCATTGGGTTCTCTATCTTAAGTTTTCTTTGACAAGCCTTCGGTTAAGTTTATTAAGCTTTAAGTTTTCTTCTTGCCAAATCTGTTATGTTTACGGGTTTTTTGTTGGATTTACTGTTGTAAATAATTAATGCTTTCATCTCTATCTATGTAGCGTACGACCTGTGGAAGAACCTGAGTTCGGCCTACGAAAATCAGAGAGTACCGCGTCGGCTTTCGCTGTTGTACAAGTTGCTGCACACAAAGCGTACCATTTTTTCTACCATGAGGGCCTATGCTACCGACCTGCAGGGAACTGTTGAGCAGATTCGGGCCTCCAGCGAGGACAACTTGGACGAAGTGGCTGTGGCCGCTGCGCTAAGTAACCTTTGCAAGGAGGAAGACAATGTGCTCAAACGGTTCCTCGAGCAGACGTGTACTGTTATTGTTAATGGAAAGTCCAAACTTTCGTTTGACAGAGTCATCGAGGATGTGCTGAAGGAGGCGCTGAAGGAAGAGCAGGACGACGCTCCAGCCCAGGCGTTGCTGGTCCACCAGTGATCGTCCAGGGGAGGCTACGCCAACTACACAGGATTCCGAGGACAGCGTCGTGGGCGAGGCTCCTTCAGAGGCCGAAGTGACAGGGGTGGCAACACCTGGACTGGTAACGGCAAACATGGTGCTAAAAGGGTTCCTCTCTGCTTGTTCTGCTCCAGGACCAACCATCCCAAGGATGAGTGCAGAGACAGGAAACGCAAGATTCTCGAGGAGAGCAAAAGGAAGCAGTCAGACCAAGGACCAACCTTCTCCGGAGAGTCGAAGATCAAGAGGACCAAAGGACCGGCACACTGGGAGCTGAAATGGGCAAAAGGTCCGTCCTTACGTCCTTAGAGGACGGAAACTCTCTGGTATGTAAAGTGCCTTACAATACTTGCAATATGCAATTTTACCTGGACAGTGGTGCCTCAGATCACATGTGTGGGTGTATCGAGTGCCTGTCGGACTACTCGACAGTGTCACAAAGGCAGCGCGTTCAATGTGCTGGGAATCAAATCCTCTTCATTGAGGGTTACGAGAACTTTCTGACAAACCCTGACCAACACAATAGCCTGACTAAAATCCATAATATTAACTACGTGCCAGGATTGACCTCAAACTTATTGTGAATCAGTAGGCTAGCTGAGAACGGTCTTGCTATTGTCTATTGGTAACGAGTGTGGAGTTTACCATGGAAGCGAAGTTAAACTTCTTGGTAAACCCCTACTGAAAACCACGGAGACAGATGAAACTTATCAGTTAAATTTGGAAGTGAGAGAACATGAGCAGACCACTCTAGCACTAAAGGCAAAGAAAGCTGAGATACAGCCTTGGCACCAAAGGTTAGGACACCTTGGAACAAATAATATGGGCCTTATCCAGGGTATGGTGAGTGGCATGGGAAAAGTCAGCAAGGCCAAAATGAAGTGCTCCACGTGTCAAAGAGCGAAAACTGTCAAGGGACCCTTTCCTAAGGGGGGATCCCGGAGGGCATCCATGTTATTAGAAATAATTCACTCTGATGTGTGTGGAGTACGGATGGCATTTCCCTACAAGGTTTCAAATATTTTGTAACCTTCATTGATGATTTGACAAGATACACATACATTGCACTGTAAAAAAAATTGTTGTCACTTAACAACAAATTCGTTGTTAAGTTTTTAACTGACTCGTGTTGTTGTACAACAGCTGCGGTTGTCAAATAACAGCAAACGTTGTCCAGTTACAGTAATACAAAAAGTCAGCAAAAACAAGATGGTGCCCAATAGTCCAATATTAACAATGCATTGACAACAAACGTAGTTGTTTTTCAACAACATCTGTTGTTCCCGAACAACTGAGCTGTTGGTCAACAACTGAGCTGTTTTTAACAACTAATTTTCACAGTGTGGTCTGTTGAGAAACAAGAGTAATGTGTTTGATAAATTCAATCAATACAAAACTCTAGTTGAAAGGCACACTGGAAATAATATTAAATATCTGAGGTCTGACAATGGAGGTGAATATGTTAATGAGAAATTCAAGCAGTATTTTATGAAAGAGGGAGTGCTAAGTCAATACTCTGTTGCAAGAAATCCACAACAGAACGGGGTAGCTTAGACAGCCAACATAACTTTGTTTAAGAAATAGAGGGCAATGTTTAAAGGTGCAGGTTTGCACTCAAAGTTCTGGCACCTCGCTTTGAATGCTGCTGTTTTCCTCAAAAACATATCCCCCACAAAAGCAGTCAAAGGTGTAGTACCATATGAAGTCTGGGCATGTGTGAAACCTGATGTTGGCATTTTGAGAGTTTTTGGGTGCCTGGCCAGCGCTCATGTATACTCTGGTAAAATGCTAACAGACACGACCAAGAACTACATCTTCGTCGGCTTTGATGAGGAACGCAAAGCTTACAAGCTGTTGGATCCAAAAACAAATGCAGTCACCTCATAGATATACCGACGTCACATTTAATGAGAAAATTTTCTCAGCTAAAGACCTACACTTAATGTATCTGCGGGCACCTCTCAAAGGGCTACCCCAAACTATAATGCTGGTTTCTCAGTGACAGAGACTGCTGACCTCAAAAGAGTGTCTGAGGATGCCGATATGACATCTGACACTGATGATTCACATTCTGAATCTGGGAATGAATCTGACTCGGAGTCTGGCTCTGAGTACGATTCTGGTTCCGATTCTGAATCTGAACAAAATTATAACAATTCTGGAAATAATTGTAATTCTGGATGGAGATTCTCTCTGGGGCTACTATACGGACACAAGCCTGTCAGGGATGTTTCATGACGGGGCCAGCACTAGTGGGTCAGAGAGACCCTCCTCTAGTCTGGACTCGGATGACAACATTTCAGTAGCTGTGGAAGAAAATAATGAGATGCAAACTAATCAACCTATTTCCACGAAAAGGGTGTAGTACCACCAAAACGCTATGATGGTTTTGTACTCTATGGTTTTGGAGAGACAGATGCAGAGATTCATGACAAAAACCTTGCTGATCATGCTAAGAAATAGAGTTCTTACATGAGATATGCCTGGTTTGCATCTAAAGCCGTGGACATTTTGCCGAATTCCTATGAGGAGGCAATTCAGTCCCCTGAGTCAGCATTCTGGCTGGCAGCCATCAGGGATGAGCTGAAAACCCCTGCCCCAGGCCAGGGTGCTCATCGGGTTGGTAATAAATGGGTATTTAAGAAAATGACAAATTCATATGACAGCCCTTTAATCAGGGCAAGATTGGTGGCAAAGCGTTACACCCAAAAATATGGAGTTGACTATTTTGATACATTTGCACCAGTAGTGAGAAAGGAGTCTCTGAGAATTTTATTTTCTATTGCCGTCAATTTTAATTTGAAAATTGCCCATTTAGACGTTAAAACTGCATTCCTACATGAAAACCTTTCTGAAAAAGTGTATGTGTATGTGGCACAACCTGATGCTCCATCTGATTTTAAAATTCCAGGCACTGAACAGCTAGTATGCAGATTGAGGAAGGCTGTCTACGGGCTGAAACAAGCAGCAAGAAGCTGGTATCAGAAAGCAGACAACGACAACCTACTCAATGAGGAAGGATTCCGGAACTCCAAGCAGGAACCATGCATCTACATCAGGACCAAGCCTACGGTAACAATAGTTTCCCTTCATGTTGATGATTTTTACCTTTTCTATAATGATGGGGTACAAAAATCAAACCTACTAAAGGCTCTTAGTGCTGTAGTTACTATAAAAGATCTGGGGGAAGCCAAGAACTGCTTAGGTATGAGAATAGAGATTTGGAGAAAGGTACCCTGAGACTCCACCAGGAGGAATATCTGGAGTCTGAGCTTAAAAGGTTCAGCATGGACGGGTGGAAAGGAAAGCAAGTTCCTTTGGAGTCTAAGTTAAAAATGTTTAATCTTGAGCAGGGATACCAAAGGGAAATTCGATTATCAGCAGCTCATTGGCAGCCTCCTCTATCTTAGTACAAATACGAGGCCAGATATTTCTTATGCTGTAAGCTTTCTCAGTCAGTTCAATTGTTGCTACACTAGTACTCACTGGGAACTAGCTGGAAATGTATTAAGTTACTTGAAACAGCGTTCGAAATTGGGTCTGAATTTGGGGAAGGAATGTGATTAGCAGAAGAGGTACTACACAACTTAAACGACAGCTCAGAGAATCACAGGTAACAGGCGTGGTCTCGCCCGGCAGGATAGCGAAGTACCTCTAAAAAGGAACATTATTGTGTCAGAAGTAGAAATCCTCCGTGGAGTAGAGAACTGGTAAATGTGGAAATTTCTAGGTAAAATACATCAGACATGGGGACATGCAATGCCTGGAGGCTCTGCCGCCGCCAAACGTGAGAAACCAGCCACACTCCCAAGAGATGGTGGACGACCGGGATGCCCACACCATCATCGTGACCACCCTGGGTGCTTTTCATTCGCCAACCATGATCGACCATGATCGACCCTGGTCGCCGGATGTGCTTTCCATTCGGCGTGGTAACCCAACACGGTCGACCGCCAGCGACAGCGGCCAAAATCACCGGTTGGGCATGGTTCGTGAAGAAATCAAGAAGAAGCGGGAAACGGCTGCGGAGTGAGAGCGTTGGTCAGGTTGAATGAAAAAAAGTTTCTGTGTTTGTGAGTAGAATTAGGAACTTTTCTTCGATTTAACTGATCATACGCGCATCATGAACACCAATAAACCTAAGGTAAGAGTCGGAGCAAAATACACATTCAATTTCTGATTGTAAATGAAGATCTGTTTGCATCAATAACCTCGCATTCATACGCATCATTGGCTTTGAGTTGATAAATGGGCCTTAGCATTTCATTGAATGATAAAATATCTTCATTCCTCTAGGTCGTGGTGGTGTCCCAGAGTAGGATCCAAGAAATGTTGAAGCAAGGCCTTATACGCCTGCCACCACTACCAATACAAGGTAAATATATATCTCATTGAACGCAATCCCTCCCACAACTTTAGTTTACACGGAAAAAAATGACTTTGTTGCGGGGATCAGTTCTGTTTGGTAGGCTAAATTCGATAGCTGGAATCGAGAATCCGATACTCACAAGCAGGAGTTGGTTGTCACGACCGGACACTTGTACGAATAGAACCAAGCTGGAGTTTGTTCTATTCGTACAAGTGTTCGGTCGTGGCAACCATCTCCTAGTTGTGGGTATCGGATTCTTGATTCCTGCTATCGAATTTGGCCTACCAAACATAATTGATCCTCACAACAAAGTCATTTTTTTCCGTGTATTTACATTATATTCTCCTTCAGCAGGATCATCTCAACCTCAACCCGAACCCCAACCCCAACCAAGCCGCCCTGCAGAGGAAAAAATGTTCCTGCAAGGAAAGTGAAGTGAAATTATTAATTGAGACAATAAAGAAGAAGAAAGGAGGAAAAGTCACGCATATTTCAGATGTGAAGTTCTGGAGGCAAGTGGCGCAAGAAACTCCCGGCATTCCATGGAATTCCGAGCAGTGCCAGACCACATGGGGTAATTTACTGCGGAGCTACAGCCGCAAGACAACTGCAAGTCATTCCTCGGGGGGGCCTCCACTAAATCTCAATACATGTGAAAAGTTACTATACGAAGAGAGCGCAAACCTCAACCCTAAAACAGCCTTCATTATCCCCGAAGGTGAGGTAGTGACGGAGGACACTGACATCACCCCTAGCTCCTCCAGTTGCACCCAAGGTACCAATGTGGAACCCTCTCCATTGACACCATGCAGGTAGAAGAGAAGGGTACCACATGGCACTGGGTCCAACCAGGCTGGAGCTAGGACTAACTTGCAGGTTGCATTTCTCCACTCCCTGAACAAGTCTGATGAAAGGAAGGAGGCTAGGACTAGCTACGAACTAAAACGAGTGGCTGTAATGGAGGAGCACATGCAAATACAAAAAGACAAAATTAATATTAGGAAAGCTGAATTAGAGTATAAAAAATCAAAGTTAGCAGATGCCGTTTTCATCTTTTGAATAAATCAAAAGTTCAGAGAAAGGTTGATTTATATCTTTCACGGCAAATAGTTGGCAAATAATGAGGGCACTGGTCTGATGATCTGACAGTTTCCAAAACGCAGATGAGGAAGACACTGCCTACCTGGACAAAAGGAGACTGCGGGCTGCAAGCGACTTGGGCGTGGCCGTTGGCTTGAAGTGGAACATTCAGCTCGTGTCTGGGTCTGCGAGCAGGTGGTTCCTCGCCAGTATTAGCCACTACACTTTTCCGCTTGCGATTATCTTCCATATTAACTGCAAATGAACAGACCGTCGTACTAAGTCTTACTCAAATTTGGTTAAGCATAAACTGCACACCAGGGCACCGTTACTTGACGTATCGGTGTTACGATGCAATTATTTTTAACGAAAATCTCTGTTACGAGGACAATTTTGTTACAGTAATCCGGAACGAAAAAACAAGCTCGAGTGAATTCCGTTACACATTTGGGACATTATAAAAACGTTACGCCGCACGAGTGCCGACTAGTTCCCGCGACACGCATTCAGTATAATACCTCGTTCTCGACAGGCAGAAGTCCTACCCAAATTTGAAAAAGTAGCCAAAAAAGCTCGAAGTGTTGGGAATAATTGGCTAGCTTTATGTTTGGGTCTAGGGCGTCTCTAAATACGAGAAATAACGGGTCTAATGCGGACTAGCCACACTTTAAAAGGGAATCGTCAGTTGAAACATCTTTGCGTCTACATTTAGCATGAAAGTCCCAATATTATTTTAGAATAATATTTCTTGTGCTTTCCCCTTTCCAACAGTATAGTTCATCAATTGTCGAGGTAATTAGAAACGCCACGGTCAATCGCTTACGACCTGAAGCGCGGGAAAACGACCCTGAATCGTAAAAGGAGTGTCCCGGTATTAATAATGCTTAGACTTTTCGCTTTTTCCGCCCATCTCCGGGAATTTCAAAGTGCACTGGAGGGGAGGGTAGGGGTCATTTCGAAAATCCGGCAACGCCACGTTGTGAGGGAAGATAGGGAAAAGCACCAACTATCAGGGTAGATAAAGACTGGGGAGACCAACACCATATCATATTTGAAAACATAACCCGGGGGCTAGCACGCCCACCAACATGTAAACTATCCGGCACTGGCTTCATACTTAAGCCGCACACAATGGAGGACTACCACCTCCTACTCACGCGCCTCAAGGAGGCAAAAATTGAACACACCTACAGAACACCTAAGCAGCCAAACCCGCACACACGCCCATATATACTAGCTGGGCTGGGGGCTAGGCGCTGGCATACTAGCTGGGCTGGGGCTCGGCGCTGGCTGGCTTGTACTTTAACTGGATCAGGCTGGCTTGCTTCTGACCAAATGTGAAAGTCAGTCTTTAAACGACTGCCTAGAAAAAAACTCTGACGCACCAGCGGCACCCTGAAAATCATGCCTAGCCAAATACTGGCTTAACGAAAACTGCCGATACACAGCAGTGATTTGTGTTCCATGTGCGAAATTGCATCGTAAGGGTCAGGAAATCTCTGACCCTCGCTACTTCACAAGTCACCCAAACTGTGGCTTCTGCAGGACCTACTCACGATACTGAACGATATCACGATACCACGATATCACGATATAAGGCGATATCACGATATCACGAAATGGTTAGAATGGTACGCGTATCGTACGTTAGGATGAAGGCCCCCCAGGGAGAAGGCGGAAGAGCAGCTAGAAGCGTATAAAAGACTCCCTCCACTCGAAATGGACAAGTGTCCACTCGAGTGGTGAAAGTTTCATGAGTACAGGCTGCCATACCTGGCTAAACTCGCGAAGATATACCTCTGCATACAGGGCACGTCAGTGCCATCTGAGCGGGTATTCAGTGTGGGTGGTCGAGTGGTGATGACCGATTTTCGGCACTGCTTGACGGGCACTCACGTCAACCAACTCGTATTTCTATTGATGAACAGGGCCTTTGTCAAGAAGTAATGAATTCCTTAGTTTGCTTTTTTTGTAATATACTTGTTTTGACTAAATGTTGATTTTTTGACCTTCACTCTCAATATTTATCGAAACGCAATCAGAATACATTGATTTGCGATACCACCATGCTTAATAAGACGATATCACGATACACGATATGAGACGATACGATATGGGACGATATTACAATACCACGATATGGACGATATTTGTACGATATATGGACGATACGATATAAGAAAGGGCGCAACGCTAGGGCCATTACAGCAAGATTGGCTCGCCAGTACGACCCCCACAGGCGGCCATCGCAGTAAATCCCCCCCCCCCCCCCTACTCTCTCCCTCACTTGTCTTGTATTCCCTCTTCTATCTTTCAGCATAGTAAGTGGTACCGTAGATTTTAAGTATAAGCCCCATTCGCAGGAAATTTAAATCAAATCTGTACGGACCTAATTAACTCCGCCTTGACTCCAATCCGGCTCATTCACTCGCACCTGCCACACACATACGCACCGTGCCGCCCCAAAGCAACCCCGACAACGACCGCGTCGCCCCGACCACCGTTTCTTAAAGAGGCCAGTACGAAAGATGCTGTCCACACCCCAACGTACCTTGTGGGCCCTTTCAAGCTAGTCGAACCAAAGCCCCCCCTCACCCTCCCGAATGCAGGGAGCTTGAGTTGCTGACTAGAATCCAACTGACGAGCTTTACAAACCCCCAAGGACACTTAGTCCAGGAAGTTTCCCCCACCCTCCCCAGTAAAAGGTCTCGTAGAAACCTCCACCTAAAAAGGCACCGCCAAAGGCAGTACAAAAAATATACAAAAAGAACTCTGACGCACCGGCAGCACCGTGGAAATCACGCCTAGCCAAATACTGGCTAAACAAAAACTGCAAATGCACAGCAGTAATTTGTGCTCCATGTGGGAAACTGCATGGTAAGGGTCAGAAAACCTTTGACCCTCGTTTCTATACAAGTAAACCAAACTGCGGCTTTTGCAGAACCTATTCACGGTTCGGAGTCGCGTGCAACAAGAATCTGACTGGGCAGGCTAGGCATGATTACACCCAGCTGCGTGCAGAGCAGATGAGTCGCCAAAAGTGTAACGAAGTCATTAAGAAGGAAAGTTGCCCCTTCGGCGTCCAATGCCTTTACAGCCATCAGCTGTCCAGCGGTCAGTTCGTCCAAATGCATAACCCTGAACAATTCTTTCAAGTCGCCACCCCGACGACATGTCACAGAACGGTCCGTTGCGTAGATATTCTGAAACTTGGAACCCGTACGGTGCCGGAACCCGGCGCCCAACCCCCCCGCTGGCAGCAATACTTCCCCCGACAACGACCGCGTTGCCCCGACCACCGTTTCTAAAAGAGGCCAGTGTTAAATATGCTGTTCACACCCCAACGTACCTTGTGGACCCTTTCAAGCTAGTCCAAACAATGCCAAGCCCCCCCTCCCCTCAATCCATCCGACCTTGGTAGGGAGCTTGAGTTGCTGTCCGCACCCCAGTGTACCTTGCGGATCCCCAAGCCGTCGCCTCCGCCGCACCGCGTCCCGGGGGTCCCAGACGACGAGGCTGGCATCCTCTCGCCGCCAGCATCACCGAGACCCCGCCCCCGCCACCCGCTCCAAGCCCAGCCGAGGACCCCGCCGGCCGGCGCGGCGGACCACTTCCGAGGCTCCCCCCCC